AGGACTCCCCATGCCCCTGAAAAACGGTGTAAACTGTGCTACAAGAAATCACACAAGGATTATGGAATCTGTTGGGAGCATGGAGTCAGGTGAACACTAGAGATCATTTGTCTGAAAGCAAAAAGGACAACCACTGTTCTTAGGAGAGTTATCATTTAAAACAGGCTTTAAAAGTTTTTTCCACTGTTCAATTCTTCACAGCAGGGTAATCCAAGCGTACGCATGTTCACACTACTACAAGCGACATAAAGGGTAAGGTTTATTAAACAGTTGATGGTCATCACCTATAAAAAGAACTGCTCATATAAACATAAAAAATGACCCCCAGATCCCTTTCTTCTGACCCGTCCTTTTCAGCACTCAGATGCGTGCTCTTCCCAGTAACAGATTGGTCCCAAGCCCGGCATCCACTTCACTACAACTTCTGATTCCACAGACCAGGACAGAAAGTGATAATGAAGCACATTAGAAGGGATTTCTAGTGTAGAGGGAACAGCTTGTCCTCAGATGGATTAGACAGCTTTCAAGTACAAGCTCATATACTAGAACATACAAGAACTTGATAAGCAAAAAGTGTATTGCCTAAATCCGAGAATACTGTTATTTATCATTTCATTCCTTCAGGCAGAGGGTACCAGTTATGAAGTCTGATGCAAACAAAATCACCTGTCTGCAAAGTGAATGTTTGTTCAGGATTTTCCTTTCCACCCATTTACCTGAAAATGGGAAATACACCAAATGAGAAAATAATCCAGTTGTTTAAGGTCAAGACACCGACTTAAACAACTTTTCAAAAAAAAACCAAACAACAATAAAACTGGGTGTTTCATGCTACATCTGTCCCCACTCAATGACCTGTATTTTAATTTATAGCCATTTAAACTTGTTTCCTCAAAATGAGTAGAAGTATGTGGTGACACATCCTATGCTAAGCTTGTTTCTGCCACTCATTTTCTGTAAGGCATGAGGTATATTATTTTAATTTTCTGCTTAGTTTCCCTCATAATGAATTAGCCCATGGAACTCCCTTAAAGCAATATTGTATTAGCAAAGTTAGACAGTAAAACACAAGGCAGAGCTTCCCGAACTAATGCAAATGTTTTTGGAAGCACTACCAAACTTGTAATTTAGCGCTGAACAACAATCTCTGCTCACAGCTGGAGTAAAATCTTGGTGGCAGGAAAAGGGACTGCCGGAGCGCTGCGGTACTCCTCACACCTTCCGTTAAAGCACTGATTTTTACCAGAGGGAGAACTGCAAGACTGAGCGAGCCACAGGCCTGAGCTAACGCGGCAGTTCCTGACTTGCCCGTAAAGTGCTCTGAACGGAGACACCGTCGCGTGAAGCATCAGGAGAATAATGCTGCGGGCACTAGTGCAGGCATTTGGCCTGCAGTCATCTCAGGCAACAGGTTGCCAGATTTTCTAAAGAGTAAGAAAATACACGTTCCGTTTTGCGGACAAATCCGTTGTAACGCTGTAATCTTGCATCAGCTTTTACAGAGATAAAACTAGATTCCCAGAAAGCTTAGGACCGTGATGAACTTCAGTTTCTTGCTACGTAACGTTACGGAAAGCAAAATCGACCTGATCACATGCCACTCAAAGTGCTGGTCTTAGTGATATTCTCTTTTTCCAAGTACAAGCTATAGCTTCTCATGACTTTTTTTTCACAGAATGTCAAACTATACACTTACTCACTGGTGTAAATAACACACACTGGAAAGAAAAACAAGAGAGAGGAATAGACACAGCTTGGAAAAAGAACCATCAATTTTCTTTTCAAATGTAGCTGAACAGGAGAGTTGAGAGGGAACAGATTAATGATTAAGAGTGCTAAACGAGGACGTCAGTATAAAGTTATTATCATGTCCAGATGTTGTTTTTGCCTTTGACACTTGAGTTTTCACTTACATAAACACACATACGCATCTAGTCTTAGGGCACCTACATGCATTTAAAATGCCTGCAGTAACTTTAAGAAACAGACTTCTATACATTCTGCACTGCAGTTCACCTACAAAATGGGGAAGATGGTGATGGGGTAAAAAAAAAAGTTTGTTCAAACATTGAGTACATAATTTACTAACAATACATAATTAGTACATAATTAGTATTAACAGATGCATTCCACAGTTATTCCAGCAACAAGCTGAAGTAGTTCTCATGCCTACAAATTGTAATATTGCCCTAAATGATGATTTTAAATCCATGCAAAATTTGGGTATATTAAACGTGTATGACTGACACCTTTTAATGTATACTGCATCTTTTAAAAGTTCATTGTTGTTGGAAGCTTTTTAAAAATAAGTCACTTAAAAATGGACTTCTTCCCTTGAAAGTACTACATATATCTGATTACTAGGCAGCCAAGTTGAAATACTCCCTCCATCTTCTATGCCAAAACAGATGGCAAATAATGAGCAAGTTGGAATATTCTCTGCTTATAGTATTTAGCTTGCGGTTAAGGACTTTCCAGCTTTCTGGGTTAGCACCATCTCACTAGAAAACTGCTGTAGACCAAGGAGGACTAGAACAGCTGACATAATTCAGTCTCAAACCAATCTTCCCATACTTAATAGCTTCTTGTGTCAGCATGTGTCCTAAGCTGAAACATCTCAGATTGAACTTGGCTACAGCCTAAGCGTACAGGGATGTGTTTAGCAGATGAGACTGGCAGGAATAGTGGTGCTTAATGCGGTCAGAGGTTCCGAAGGCAGTGGAAGCATTATGGCTGCTGATGCACTGAAGGTAAAAAGGGAAGGTTTTATCTTTTTCTCCCTGGTTCCTCACAGTTCAAACACCTGGATTTTTACTGTGCAGCATGCCACCACTCAAGCGGGAGAGGAGACAAAGTGGCAAGATTTTTTCTTTCTGCAAGCCTACCGAGATTGCACTATTCCAAAGTAAACAGCTACCCTGTCTTAAGCAATTAAATTCAGCATGCCCACTAATGAAATTGTTATTCTGTGACATATGTACTTACCAATTAATTACGCCTCATTTTAACAAGTGACAGTAGGCTTTCTTTTTTGTTCCACATAAAAAACATCTCTAGTGGTGCAAAATACAATTGATTTAAGGTTTTTCAGACTAAAATTACACAAAAAGCTTCTTCAAAATTATAAACAATGGAAGTCATACCTCCTTAAATGTGTTTCGGTAACCTTGGTTATTTCTTTTAAAAAATAATTAACTACTATGTCTCAAGTCAACTCTGTAAATCATGCTGCTTCCTTAAATAGTTTAATATCAGCTCCAGAATATAGAACATACAGTCCTCATTAATTTCAGTTTTCCTTACATTTTCTTGTTAGAATAGCAGCTATGGGATGTTCAGTTCTCCTCTAGTCAGAGTGCTAACATGGCTTAGGTTAGACTCCAGTCCCCTATTTTCAAAACTCTTCCCTCAGTTAGCACTGATGCAACTTCAGCATAACTAGTTTTGGAGAAACACGACTTGCAGACACTTCAGAAGAATTTTCATTATCTTGTTTAAAACAACATATGGGAATAAAATAGAACCACAACTTTGATTTACAAAACATAGCTTTAATTATACAGATTGCTTCAATGAGTTTTCAAATACAGATTTCAAAAAGTCACCAGTGTTTTAATATATGCTTTCTGAAATAACACTGTTGAAATACTTATTGCTAATATGTTAATATTTGTCAAGTTTTACCAAGTGTTAACTATTGAATATTTTTGTTTAAGCATTCAATAATAATTAACTCAACACTGAAATGCCATCTCTAGACATTCTCTAGTGCATATATGCTTTCGTAGGGATTCAGGCATTACTCTGATTTACAGGTTATGAAGAGCTTAAATATATCTGCTAGACTCAAGTCGGAGCCAAGTTACATGCCTTAAGTTACAGAAAAAAAAGCAGCTAACCTACTGAAGTGGCACAAATAAGAGAGAAGATAATGACTCGATCATAAAAGCTAACGAATTTATATACTTAGAGCTTCAGTTTAGTCTTTTCTTGGTCTCAGGAAGAATGTGAAATACCAGAAAGTGAATGATTGCCTGGCCCGCAGCATTCTGGTATAATCACAATAATCTGGGGAATTCAAATAGATTGTGAAGAATTTCATGTGGAAAAAATTATATTATAGAAGATTCTTTAATGAAATGTCATTTTTGACTCATGGAGTAGATTAAGTACTTTGGAGGGAAGTCTTCAGGGCCAGTCAGGCTCCAAGTGGATTTCTTTATTTTGTTCCCCAATGCATACCTCAAGAGGTAGCATGGTAGTTTTATCGTTATACAAACTGGAATTTGGGTTCTTTGCTGAAATTACCAAAGGCACCAACTTGGAGGTGATTTCTTATCCTATGAAACCTGCTCAGCCACAGCTCCTTTCGCATAAGCCCCACAGCAGTCAGAAAGTGGTTTCTACTGACCCACGTGACAGTGAACAAGTAGTGAAAATCTGGTATTCCATTAATAATCTCCCAGTCACTTGCTACTTTCACAGTGTCATTTTCAAATCAATCTTGCAATATTTGTAGCTTTCTACACCACTGTAACCTGAATTTGATAAATCAACTCTTCTACAGAGCAGGAATTTCTTTAACTTTGTACAGACTCTAACATGAAATCTGATAGTAGTATATACTTTGAAAACAGGTTCAGATTGGTTTTTAATGTATTTTTCACTTGTATTTTAGTCTCTTTCAAAACAGAGTGTCACTAATTTGCAATCACCATAGGACAGCTGACTTCTGTATAATTCTTGTTGCGTCACTTCAGAATACAGAATGTCAGAAAAAAAATACAGTTCATCAGACTACAATTAAACAGTTTCATTTTGAAAAGTCACTTTACGTGTATGTTATGGGACAGAAATAAGGCAACTTAGGTTCAAAGTGTTACACAGAAAAATCGAATAATGACCAGAATGCAGTCTTAAAGACCTGGAGGATTAGAGGTGTGGAATTTTTAGAGTTTTACAAAGTAATTTAGAAGAATCAGAAAGGAATCTGAAATGACGCAGCATAAAAACTGCAAGGATCTCACAGCTAATTTTCGTGGTGGAAAGGTTCAGGTTGAAACATGCTGCCTGTTCAAACTTTCTGGGAGAGAATATGGAGGATCTTAGTTTTTAAAAATGCTGTCGGATAAATCACATCACCCACGTGACCCATGCAAAACCGTTGTCTGCTAAAGCTCCAAACACATTAGCACTTAACAGAGGTTTCCAAAGGCCAAAATCAGTCTCTTTAGTCACTAAAAGAAGATTCGCTATCAGAACTGTCTTCTGCATTCCCATCATCTCCCCAGGCAGGCACAGGGGCATCTGGTGTCCTGCAGACAACAAAAACGTTGTATGTTGTAAATCCTGGAAGGCAGCTGAGAACACAAGCAACTTAGCATGTAATGCTAATGTCCTTTCACTACAATTGCATGCACTTCACATCCACAACATTTAACACATTAACTGTTTATGGTTTACAAACACACACCTTATTGGTATTGCTTCACTTAGAACTGAAAGATAAACGGTAGAAGCTGTAACTCACTGGACATCAAAACTCTGTAGACACTGAGTGCACACCTTTGAGGTTATCGGAAATAATGACAGATCACTAAGAAGTGGCAAGCACTTGTAGAAAGAGTTGAAAGCAGGCAATACTGATTAATTCAATTTTTTTCAATCTTCAGAGGTTCTAGGGCTGAAAGGAACACGCTGTACACCATTATGCAGTGTAAATAGCACTTGAAAAAAAAAAGACAGGAAATGAACAATATTGTATCCAACTAAAACTGCAGGGATAATTTAGAGAAGCAAAAAAGAATTACTCAGAGTGGAATTTGGCTAGAACACTGGGTTAAATTTGACATGCAAGAGCAGCCATGGGATTTTTATTGACTACAAATGATCGGATCTCTTGTATTTAGTTTTGAAGAGAATATTTAAGATGGATCTTAACATTGTGTCAAAACATTTGCTCAGGGAATCTCCTGGGAATGAAGGGGAGAGAAGCAAGCCATCTAAAGACTAACTAACACTACTGACTGAAGATGCTGGCTCTCCCTGGAGCCTCCCTCCTAAGCATCTAATGTGTTTGACAATACAAGAAAAACTGAGCCTGGTAAATTCTGAAACCAAGGGAGAAAATATATACGCAGTTATACTCAGGGAAGAATGATCTTCACAGAAACTAGCTTCCTGTATCACAGTTAACTGCTCTCTTTGATAAAACATTACATTTTAAACTAAGCTGACAATCATATTATTTGTTCTGTTGTTATTTATCTTGGGGCCACCCCTGTGTGTCATGCCACAGAATTTCTTTTCCAGCTTTAGTTCTGTTTATTATAATTTCCCTATTGAAAATCCCTAAGGTACCTTTAAAGTGTTTCTAAACATTTTGGGTGCAAACATGAGAAGTGCATTAAAGAGCTGTAAGAGAGCCTTCTCCCTCCCCCCTGCACACCTCCAAAATAAATTAAGAAAGTGTTCGCTTTCTCATGCAAATACCACTTCACAATATTATTCCTTGTTGCTGTGGTAATGACAAAACAGAAGAGCCGTGCAAAGACATGTGATCTGGAGAGAGCAGTGCAAAAACTCTCCTCTAGTAGAGAGAGAAAGATGGCAATGAATTCCTTTACTTCACGAGGGCAGGACAAACTCTCCTGGAATTGTAGACAGGCAAGAGAGGAAGGATAAGAAACAAAAACTAAAAATAGATAAATTGGGAGCTTGATAAAATAGGCAGTTTTCAAATTCCATAAAAAGCTGAGAAAAGAGCAGTAACAGAAGTGGAAGTAAAATAGCCAAAGGAAGAGAGTGTAAACAACTCCATATTATTAGAATTAGCATCTCTTCAGCCACAGAAAAACCACTCTCAGTCACTGGCAAGTAGCTGGGGGAGTCTGCAGTAACTGACTAAGCACACAGCAATATGTACATTTTCCTAATTTTCACTGGGACTGAGTGAGCAGGCCTAAGGAACCTGAAGAACCAAGAAATGTGGTGTGAATGGCAAGATATATATTTAAAAAAAAAAAGCCTACGATATTGAGACAAGAAAGCATGAAGATTAAAAGAAAGGTCACCCCTGACTCCTTAAAATATTAAAAAATTATTTCAAATAATACCAATTCTTCAAAGAGGTATCATGCACCTTGCCAAATAATTAGCTTTCTTTTAGTTTCTTTTACATTTCTTTCTTATACAGTTTTCTAACCAACAACATTTTAAAGAAAATCTGCCTAAGCGTTAGTGTTGCACAGAATCTCCGAAGATGGACTTTGAGACCAAACCCCAACCATATTCTGTGAGCCCCAATCCACAGTAATAACATTTCTGTCTTAACCCAAAACAGACAATCCAAAAGCAGGTACTTTTTTAAAAAAGCTTTTGAAATTTTAACCTATTATCTTATTTTTATCTACTATAAAAATCCATCCAAACATGAAGAAATAGCAGCATTTACAGAAACGTATGGACCAGAAATGCAGATTAAGAAATAAAACACATTTAACATACATATAGTAAACCCAGTAAACCCATGTTTGATAACCCTGTCTCAGACTTGCACGGGTTCTTACTTGTGTTCTTTTTCTTATTTCTCATTTGATCAGTAAAAATATCAAATGAGGAATAACTACCTTAGGCTTATTTAGACACCAGGAAGTAGCTGGGAGATAAAGTGACTCAACATACGATGATACTTCAGTTTTCCTACATTTTTATTTATTTCATTAAACAAGTTGCTAGTTTCAGAATAAGTCTTTCCAAAATGTAAGAAGAGTTCACTGGAAAGGAGAAGCGGGCTTTCTAATACATTGTCAGTTTCTGAAGAGGATGCAAGTGTTTCAGTTTAGTGGCTACAATGTAAAAATGAAAGTTAATATTTTCATCGGTTTAACAAATTCTGTGAAATAGCACAGTAAAACTAAATGACATGTCAAATGTAAAACAAGCTTAAAATTCATGCTTAAGGCCAGACAAACAGCTTTGAAAATGAGTATCTATTCTTAGTAGTCTTCACATCAGGTTAGCTCAATTAACAGTCACAATTTCAAACTGCTGAATTCAATTTACACTGCCAATGTTGAAGCCAAGCTGTACACTCCAACTACTGCAGGAATCTGGAAACAACTGTGTTGTCCCTCATGCATCCGGCAAAATAAAATAGAGCTTGTTCTTATTACTCTACAATGATGGCATTTTGCTATTGAAGTGTTGGAAGAAAATATCTGGGAAAAACCTCATACTCTAAACAGTACGGTAAAAATGGCTACTGACATATTATTTGATTCCTCATCGCTAAATGCACATTGTCAAATGTTACCTTGTCATTGCTATATCCTTTTCCTTGAACTGCACCACCTCTGCTTGGCTTGAAAGAAGCCCTTCCGTTTCTTGTCAAGTCTGAATGGTAAAGGCCTGCAACTTTCTGTTTGGGAGGGTGCAGTACCTACCCATTTATATTCCAGTCTCTCTATTTCCCGGGCCTTGCCTTGGACTAGACAATACTGAAAAGACAGCTCATACTTGAGATTGCATCCCTCCTCCTTTGGTACTGATGGCCCTCTTCAGACCCATAAAATGCTAAAACGCCTTTCACAGAAGACTTCAAAACCTGTTCTAATGCTGGTAATTTAGATTCACAATACCATAAAAAAAGCTTTTCTAAGCACACTTTTTTCCAAGTTTTTGAAACACATGGTTGCATTCCAGCCCTGCTGAAAGTTACAAGTTACTTACTCAAGAAGATCTGGATTTAGCCCTTCAGAAATCATTTTGTTTCGTATTGCCATTACGGGAACACCCTGCGTAAGAAGAATAATAATGTGAAACTACTGGACACAAACAATTGAACTAAATTCCACAGGTTCTTTTAGGCTACACTTTCATACAAATTTATGCATGTCACTTGTTGAACAAGAGCACAGAATGATAATCTCAGCTGCCATCAGGATGAACCTAGAAGTGAGAAATGACTGAGATCAAAGGCCCTTTTAATTCTTCTTATATTTATGGCAAAACATCTAGAGAAAGCTGCAGGAAGAAAATCAGGAATGAACAGATATATTTGCAATTCATGATGACAAAACCATGAAGCTGAAGTTATTTGTATGGATAACATGAAGAAAGCACAAAACAGCACAAAGACAGCAGAGAACAGTCATGCTAGAAAGATGAAGACGACTTGGACATGCTGAAGGTATAGCCAAAGAGGGAGGAAAACCAGGAAAGTGCATCTGCTACAGCTCTGGAAGGATACCTTAAGGCAGTGCTAAAAATTGGAAAAGTCTTTAAAAAGCATGCAGGAAAAGGCAAACAGGACATGAGAATAGAAGCACAATTTAAAAGTGATTCCTCTGAACACAAGTGCTTGTACAGTCAGGCTTGAATCTTCTATGACTTGTGGACAGATTTTAGCCAACTATGTACGTGTTAAAAAAAAATTCCTTCCTTTCACTGCAAGTCCTTCCACAGCTGCTGCACTTTATTTTATTCAGCAACACCTAAATATCCCCTCATCTTGGATCACATACCCAAGAACACTTTGACCCACGTCGTCTTACGAGATACACTCCAACAAACTGCTCCTATGTTTCCACTAGAGTTGCTCAAAGACAACTTGTTGCTTTGCCATCTCCTGTTGCAAACCATCAGAAACACCACCTGGACCACTGCATGCCAAGACAGGAGGGGAAAACCAAAAAAAACCCCAAACCAAACAAAAAAACCCCCAAACCAACCAACCAAAAAAAGGATCCAATTTCTGATTTCCAAGGGACAAAGCTACTGGTGGTCTAGAAAAGTCAGAAGAGGCCTCACAACCTAAGTGAAAAGTTGTGTTGGATTCTTTTGGCACAGGACAAATATATGTGTTGTCCAAAGTAAGTAAAATAGTGATAAAATAAAGGGCAGCCATGACTCATGTTCCAGAGAAGCATGTGGTACTAGTAACAGTTGAATACCTAACCTGGCAAGTGAGAGCTAAGCTAGCTGTCTTACTGTGCTTATCTTGTGCAGTTTCACAATAAGAATCACAATCAAGACTTTTTTTTGAAGATTCCGGAAAAGCACTCAGACAGGGACATAGTTTTAGCAATCTATTAGGCATATTGGCAAAAATGGGACTCAAATAGTTTCAAGGTATTAGCTTGTAATAAAGAATTTCTCAGTAATTCACAACTAATGTACATTACAAAGGGGAAAACATCTGAGTATTTCATGACAGTTTAAAATACTCCCTTATTCTAGTATAGGTTTTGACACCAGGGACTGTGTGCCTATACACTGTCTCATACTATCTAATGTTTTTTCCCTTGCTTGAGTGCTCTTAGGGTTCCTTTCCCCAGCTCAGAAGTCACTAATGAAGGGTTTACGCATCAATTCAAACCATGTGAAAACCAGACTGAGTCAGATCAGGCAAAGCAGAATTTGTATTTGCTCTCAATGAAAGGGAGCTTGGTATATGAAGTTCTATGAATGGATTGGAAACTGCTATGTTTTTATGTTCACACCTGGAGAAGTGTTTTCTTCCAAAATTGAATGCATCAAAATATGTAAGAAAAAAACTTCTCAGTACCCTCATATATCATAGATTTACAAAACTAGTCTTTAAGTTTAATCAAAATATCCTTTAACAGTGCACACTTTTCCTGAAGGACAGCAAATAAGATTGTACCTATATCTGTTTATAATTACAATTACTTTATCTTTCATACTTTCATAAGTTTTAATCTGGAAAATCGGAGCCTAATATTGCTGTCACCCTAAATCTTACTAAAATAAAACCGGCAACTATTTTAAATCTAAACAGTAACTACACTGACTACTAACTACTAACTGACTACTAACTAGGCTACTGACTACTAACTAACTACACTGACTACTAACTACTACTTTTCTGACATAGGAGCCAATACTAAATTTCCATTGCATTTCTCCCTGCCCAGTTAAGACTTGAAACAATCCAAATCACTACACATTCATCATACACAGTGTACCCCAGACCCCAGCCCTACTTCCAGCCTGGTCCTGCAGCTCGGGAAGTGTGCAGGTCCTGGAGAAGCCACAGTGCAAGTAGCAAGCTTGTTGCCAAATAGGTTTTGGTTCTCCATAGCGCAGAAAGAGGTCACATACCATCAGTGCTGGCAATTCCTGAAGATCAGTGCGCTCTCCGTGTTTGGTTTTTATTTCAGTCCTTTAAAGCAAGGATCAGTCTATATGAGGCCAGTCAGTATCCTGGCATCTATGCAGTCATCTTTGGTGTTTAGAATCAAGTAAGAGTATCTGTACTTTAAACATGAAGTTTATCTGAAATCGTAGACTGCTCCTCTCATACTGTCAATAGAAGTGTTCTGAACATTTATTGTAGCAAATATGATATTGCTTTTGTACGGTTTCCTTATCTTAAAAAATATTAATTTAGTATGCTCAACTGCACTCCATCGAAATGAGTTTGTTAGTATTACACAGAACAACTATCTTTAGTGTAAAAGAAATATCTGTTCACAGTGCTAATTCTTAAATAATACAAATATTGTAAGCAGTAAATAAATGATCAGTTCAAACAAATCTTCAGCTAGAAACTTAATTTGGGCAAATAAATGACACTAACTGAAATACTTGACTGCACAAGAAGACAAGTTTGACAAATACAAACACACACATTAATTTGTAGTACGTTAGTTTGACTTTCCTACCACACTGTTTACAACTGGCAGAGGAGTCACCAGGAACTGCCAGGACAAAGGATAAATGTGGAAAGTGAGATGTCACTCCTCTAGCAGTCACCAGAAAAAAGTCAAAGTAATTAGACCATCCAGCACTTTCATATCCACTTTGAAGTCTGGCATTCAATCAATACACTAACATAGCATTCTACTCTCTGCTACTACCCCACTGCTAGGTTTTCCAAATGGTTTGTAATAAGCCACCCATAAAGCGCCAATTTGTGATTCAAATGAAAAATAAGGTCTGGAACATCATCCAAAGTACCAAGCACACCAATTGTAATAATTGCTCTGAAGAGCGAGTGAAACCATGAAATTGGTTTTAACATAAGCAACATTTTACTAATACTATGACACAGTCATATATTCCAAAATTACAATAATATTTTAGAGGAAAATTTCCACTGACAGCTTGAAAATAAAGACAGATTTTTTCCTTTGTTTCCAATCTCATTTTTAATTTTGTGGATGTGAAAAAAAGAGCTCTTAAAAAATGTCACCAAGAGTCTCCCATTCACTTTTTCACTCCTTCATTAGTTTTCACACATGTAAATACTGAGATTACATTAATTTATTTCCTATTTATCTCTAGAACAGCCCACAGATAAAGAGGTAAAAAAACCTGCATCATGAATAACAGGAAACTGCGGTGGAACCAAGTAGCGAAGCAATTCTTCTGTCTCTATTTTGAAGCCTACAGAAATATCAAATACTCCTGCTCTGGACTATACTAGCAAAGCTGCATTTTGTACCCTACAGCAATTAGGGAATGACACCAATTCTGCCAGAATAAGTACACTTCCAGTGGCATCTTCTGTGACTCCAGCTAATGCTACTCTGCATTTCCACATCTTCACACCTTCAGTTCACAAGTATATTGGCAGAATTTTGTAGAAAGATCTTGCCTGAAGCTGTCTGAGGGAATATATTACATCAGCTCATTTATTAGAGAAGCTGTGCTAGAAACACTGTGATGTTATCCTAGCTTAAAGATTACTGATGCAATATATATCTTCAGACATTTAATGTTCACTTACAGCTGTGCGTGATGTTCCACCTAAAAATAATGGAGTAGCCAAAGAATGATAAGAGAACTGACTTACCACTTGTACCATTTTCAGATATCTGGCATATCTTGGATCCTTGGCCACAGTTCTGACATTTTCTGTTACTACCTCCGTTTTCTGTAACCCTTCTTCATGTATATTGTTTTGCTGTATACAAAGAAGGTAACACTTTAATGGTTAGGTATGCAGACCAGAAGCATGGAGAGATTTCAATCCATAAAATTTGTAATTTAAGCGTAAAGTGCAACTCTTCTTGCATCAAGATTATTCTGATATACACTCACAGTATTAGAGATTTCCAAGATGTATGAATACACAAAAACCAGCTCTTTCATTATCAACTGTTACAAGCGTCACTTTCTACTTTTAGTCACAATTTTAAGTTATTGCACAATAAGTGAAAAAAAAATTAGCCTATAATAGCCCTGTTAAGTTTATTATATTTAATGAATAAAACAGAACTAAATTTAAATCCTAACTTTATAAAATATAATTTTTTAGAGGATTATATCTTTATATCTCCCCTAGTGTTTCAATGCATTTTTTTCCTCAAAATATTTATTTGATTCCCTGATAAATGTTTCATACAGATCATGTAACTTTTAAACTATACTTTTTAGTATAAACCATTAACCTAAAGGATAACATAATGAAAGCAAAGAATACTTGAGAGTAATTAGTTAAAAAAATGAAAAATAACAAGAAGCTATACTACTATTTAAAGGGCAACAGAAAACTGCATATTTGCTATTAAACTAACCAGTTGAAAGTAGCATTGGAAACCTCCTTTCAGGAGTATCTGTCCCTACTGTAGTATCTGAGAGGAGGAACATTTTAAAGAAAACGGCAATAACTGGGAGTCATTCTCTAACATGACTGAAACACGCAATGCTAACTGTCCGTTCTGTCTCCCGTGTTGCTGGCTGCAAATTAGAGCTACAATCTTTAAGAGGCAGGGAAAGGCAGCAGAGTACTCCAACTATTGCTGCTCCACAGCAACTTCCACCAAATAAGAGAATGAACAGAGATTGGAATTGGAGATTCCAAGAAAAGAAACTGTAAGAGGAAACTGAAGAAAGAACTCCATCTATAAATCAGCCAGAAAGCCTCACTTAGTGAAGTGGTGATCACAGGATTTAAGTTTGGGTTAAAAAAACAACCAAACACACACACACACACACACAAAACCAAACCCAGCAAAAAATTAATTGCAGGGATAGGATCTTAATGTTGATCACTTATAATATGCTGGCATTTTCTGGACATAGATGATAATATGTAGAAAACATTCACTGTAATAACCTCTTTAAAATAAAGTATGCTAGAAAGTCCAATTTGAGCTGAAAGCTCACATTCTGAGGGAAGTAGAAAAGAGTTGGAATCATGTGATTCAAACTGTTACTTTCGTTCATGACCTTCCCAGTCCCCTGATGTAATTAATGTTCATATTTTAGTCTGATTGAAGAAGAGGAACGAGGCATTTACCATTAGATTTAAGTTAGTCCTAATTATTTAAGCCACATATTCAAGGCTATACCTTTTTTTGTTTTAAGTCACTCATAAAAACAGTTTCATTAGTGAAAAATGTAGTTTTAGGTCTTTTCAGCTGACTGCTCTCTTCCAGTAGACTTGCTGCTTCCATCTGTTTCAAATGAGACTAGAAACTTGAGAGAGGTATATTCCTTCAATGTGTTAGTTATGCTTCATTACTTACTCCAGATTGAGGTGACACAGCTGTCTGTTGATCCGTAGTAGCTTGTGCCACAGGACCATTTGTAACACTGTTCATATTTGCACTGGACACTTCAAATTTGACATCTTCTAGGCCAGGAATAGAGGATAACTGAATGTACAAAACGTCATCAAACAAGCAATGAGCATATTGTAAGTCTAGGTGTACAATAAAATCTGCAGTATGCTGCTTACCACATATTCCCCAGGTAGGTTTCACATTAGTAAAATCGTAACTTTTTATCACTAGTTTTGGTATTTTGATTGGCAAAAAAAGAAGATTTTTCTATTCAGGTGGCTTCTACAACAAAAACCCCAAAACACACCATTGGAGCTTTCACTGCTAACACAGGGTTGCAGCGCAGGAAAGGCTTCCACACCTTCCCAGTATTTTGCTACTGCACTTATCAACCACACGAGAGCCGTGCCATCTTCTCTGCTACTTCCTCTACGGTGAAAGAAATCATGACAAGAACAGCTTGCTTACCTAACAGATGGATGACTGGTTACAGATTTTGCAATTTTCTACACCTTTCACTCTTTTTTAAGGAAATGCTGAGAGTGGATATTAAATAACACCACGTATTTATTTGAAGGAAATTCTATTTAACGTGATTATGAAGAATTCTGCAAAAATTATCAATACTGATAATTTCTAAATATTTTGAAATAAATAAGAGTTAGTAAGCACTCTTTGTATTACTACAGTATTTTTTTCACAAAGATCTTAATGAATGGTTGCAAAATGTTCTACCCCTGCTCCCTGAAAAGCTAACCGAAATTGCTTCCATCATTACTGAAAGAAGGATCAGTTAAAACCTTACAGTGGATGGGTTTTCGCTTTGGTTTTTTTTTCCTTTCTTTTAGCAAATTAAACGATAATACATGACTATAGATTATATCACTTTATCATTTTAGCTAAAGAAGATACATCAGACACATTTGTGTCAGCTTAGATCCAATTCAGGTCACATTTCAATATCAAAAGGTTTACAAGGCACCTATCTAGCTACTTATACCAATTGAAATCCTTACAGTCCGGTAACACTTACAGAGATACTTTAGCTTTACAAAGGGGGCAAAAATTTCTCATTAGAGTTTGCATGGCAAATGCAATTCCATACTGCAACCCTGCAACACAAGTTGCATATTGTAATATCGGGAAACTTCCCTCCATTTTCTTAAAACCAAACATTGCAATAAAACCAACAGAAGTAAGCTGCCATGTAGTCCAGTTGCCCTTTCAAGAGTCAAGTGCTCCTTCCCTGTTCATTATGCTTAACAGAGACAAAACCAACGTTTCCACTGTGTGCTGTTGGTTCCTTTCTTCCATATCAACTATGTGTTCAAATGTTACACAATGTAAGTGGCAAGGCACGCAAAGAAAGAATTTGCCGTGTGAGCATTTCGTATTAGCTCCTTCAAATCATTATGAAAACTTATTTGCTCAATTCAGACTATGAAAAGGAATCTAGTTCATGTGACCTAGGAGCCTGTCACTGTCAGAAGACAAAGTCTGTACACATACAAACCTTTGCATCCAAAATATTGAGTGTTGTTTCAATTTGTTGGATACGTAGAGAGAGCGCTGACAATTTCTAGAATAGAAAACAATTAGGACGTGAAAACACTCCCCTAGGCCACTTACACATATAAAACAGTTCACATCTAGCTAAACGAAATCACTTTTGTCTTCTAGCTGCTGAAGGCAGAGTAGAGTGTAAATGAGATGATAACATTATGAAGTAAAGGAAGCAATGACATCCCTTTTTAGTGTAGCAGCTATAGTGGTTCAAATTTTAAATAATTTCACTGGGCATTTAGTTTTCCCAAATAATGACTGACAGAAATGAAGACAGACTATGTACAAAAGAAAGCCAAAATAAATAGGGTATTACTTTGAGCAACTGGAGAATAACGGCATACATATTGTACTCTCGCAGTTACCAAAACATCTTCCTTCAAAGTTTTTTCCTAATGTGGAAGATGAAAAGACGTGATGCGTGTGCATGTAACTGAGGAAATACAAAGTAGAAAAATCTGGTAAAGAATACAGCAGGTGACTGAAAGTCCTATATAGCCAAATGCAGAGTGAATGAGAGCTAACCAGAAGCTTTATATGCTCCAGGTGCACCTCAATCAAATTTTGACACTTTTTTTAAAAAATACAACTTAAGATTTTCTAAAGTACTCTGTAAGAACTGTCACTCTTTGAACTAATCACTACCATACTCCACCAGACCTGTCCAAGTGAAGTTGGCTAGCGTGCTGGCTGGCAGATATGTACCACTCTGACAGCTTTCTGGCACGTTGGCAAGATTCTGCCTGGCTCTGAAGCAGAACTTTAACACCCTAAGAAAATGGCAGTTCTGCCAATATGCTAGAAAAAGTAAAAAAAGACTGACAGGAGTTAGTCTTTTTGGATAGTGCACTGACTTGTTTACAGATGGTTCTTTGTTCATGAAGAGGAGTTAGTTCCTACTGAAAGGAACTATGTGCCCTACATGTAGCTGGGGAAAGGGGATGAAAGATGTACAGAAGACAGTTACATAACTTTACGGGTCAGTTTGACTAGACAAGAGCCAAGAAATTTAGAGTTAAGGAAGGTGTCAGCCCTAATTTTGAATTTCTTGGCTTCTGTTGATTTAGACTGGGACCTTTTGCATTAAAAACACTTCTGTACTTCATAAATACAAAAAAATTTTCAAGGACTTCATAAAGTCACTCGGGTAACAATATGCTTAGGTTAACTAATAACTGTTTTATTAACTGTACTTCTCAGCATTGCTGTGTGCTCAAGATGGCTTTAAATATGTGTGTTCTGATTTCCATAGTGCCTATGCAAGAGGTAATAGTGAGATCATGTGACTACTGAATTTTGGACAACTGACAACAGCATCACCAGGCAGTTACACTGTCCCACGTGTCAAGTTACAATAAGTTTAAAAATCTAGAAAAAAAAATACTTTTTTTTCCTCTGGAGCTCCATATGTTTATGTGGTAGCCAAATTTTATACTTGTCATGGGTCTGGCTCTAAACTTTACCAACAAATAACAGAATTTCTCAGATTACATGGCTTAGTCTAATTGGATTTGACTGCTGCCCTAGCCTTGTTGGCTAGGGCTATATAGTAGTCTTTGTTGAATAAACTAGCGAACAGTTACAAAAAAACCACTAATGACAAAAAGGTTAAGCTCAAAGCCACATTAGAAAACACCCTTTCTACAAAGGAGGAAGCATTCTTGTCCTTTTCAGTGGACAATTCTAGTCCCGTCAGTCTGGTATATTTCCATTGAGGCTAAAGTCACACTAAAAAGTTGTTAATGCTAAATATTTTTATTTTTTTCTTTTTCACAAGACACTAAAATTAATTGCTTCATATTCCATACTAATCACTTGCCAAAAATGTCTTTTTTTCCACATCAAAATTATTTACATTCAGAGCTTAGGGTATCACCCTTTTAAATTAAAGGTGGTAAAACCTGAAAGGAAGTCTTGATGCAATATCCTAAGACACAGATGAGAAGGATACTGACTATCAAAATGGATTCAGCACCATAGGAATATGGCATCCTTCTTCCAAAACAAGATGATATCCACAGATGGGGCTGCTCAGAACAAATTCCATGTATCAAAAAGTTCAAAGACTATGCCAAACACAAAAGTTTAAGTAAACAGGATTAAGTGTGGTATAATCAGCAGTTCACGTGGATATCTTGGGGGGGAAAAACAATCTGTCTTAAGCACTTCCTCAAGAGAAACATTGAACAGAAAGCAGACTAAAATTTTTGGTTTAAGCTACCAGTATTCCTGCATCAAAAATACTGAAGTGAATGGTTCTTATTTCTAAGATTTTTTTCATTGTATAAATTGACAGCTAGGAAAATAATAAACATACCTCTTCACAAACAGTAGAAAAGCGGTTGAGAAACTGCACTGTGTGAACGACAAACTGGTTTAGAAATGCTACAGTTCTTTTCTGCTGAATAGCAGGAACCTGCATTAAATAATATAAGAAAATTAGATTATACATAGATGTCAATTCTCACATTTGGATTCAAAGCCCTGTTAAAAATGCAAATGTTTTAGAAGAAATTATTTTAGAAATCTGCCTTAAGCGTGCTTGCTATGAATGCATATATATACAAACAATTTTTTAATATATATACGTATACACGTATACAAATCCTTTTTCACTAAAAACCTACTTTTCCACATGACAGTTGAAAAGTTGCAGGATACACCAAAAAGGCAACAAGATCCACATAAATGAAGGACTGTTACCTTATTTAAAAAAAACACTTTTAGATGAAATTGTGAACATTCCTGAAAAACAGTGTTAATTTTTTTTAAAAACACAGAGGAAATCAGAATCTTTCCTTCTGAAGGTTAAGAAAGAACATAAAACTTGGTCATCCATACAAATACTCAGTTACAATCAACAGCATAATAAAAAATAGAGTAGTGAAACTGCTGTCTCAGTCTTTAGTAGCTACCTATACCTTTTCTTATTGGCAAGTCCAGACTATCCTAAAATTACACTTCAGTGACACTCCTCCAAATCAGATCCAATGCACACATACTTTTCAGACTAAAAGGTAGAATGTTATGTTTGTCAAAAAAAAACCCTGGTGCTCATAACATAACAGGCATTTGGAATTTTTATTTAAATTGTTGTACAAGACCGGAATCAGGCACATTCATAGAAATGTTTATGTATAACTTTATAGTGCCTCAGGGTTAATTACCTTGGACAGTTGTTTAAGTCTTAAACTTCACACAGGAAATTACTCTATGGAATTGTAATTGGCTAAAGTGAAGGATTTACAAGGAAAAATACTTGCAGCCAAGCTTCAGCTGCACTGAACAACGGTTTGTGACTATAGTGACTCTCTGATCTTCACCTCTTCTTTGGTCTTCCGTTTGTCAGTGTAGCCATTCACTACACTTTGCAAATCCTGATTTTTTGTGAGATCGTTGTTGCTACTACCTCAAGTTTTCAGTCTGTGCAGCCACATGGCAGGGTTTGCTGAAGTTCAATTCTGTAGTTCCAAAACTGTCAAACAGTGCTTACGACCTGATCAGAAGTTCATGGGGTAGCACAAAGGATGGAAGGATGATTGGAGCAATTGGAACTGTCCTGTCTTTATGGTCTATAGTTGAGAAACAAAGCTAAAAAATTGTTGTTGCATCGTTAAAAGACATGAATAAGCAGCTTTGCACGGGATTTGCCTCACAGTTCTAAGACTGAAATAGCTTAGCCTTTAAATACAACAAGTTCTATCACAGAACGTGTCCAAAACGGCTTTGGAAAACGTTAATACCGCACTCCTGGAGACGCAGCTGAAGACAAGACGAACCGCCTCGTCCTCCTGCGACCCCGCTGCGGGAACTCGGCCGCCGGCACGAAGGCGGCGGGCGCTGACGGGGCGGCACCGCCTCGGCACCCCGGGCACACCAGCCTTTAAATACAACAAGTTCTATCACAGAACGTGTCCAAAACGGCTTTGGAAAACGTTAATACCGCACTCCTGGAGACGCAGCTGAAGACAAGACGAACCGCCTCGTCCTCCTGCGACCCCGCTGCGGGAACTCGGCCGCCGGCACGAAGGCGGCGGGCGCTGACGGGGCGGCACCGCCTCGGCACCCCGGGCACACCACCCCAGAAGCAGCTCTCCCCGCCCGCGGCAGCCGCCGGATGGCCGGGGGCGCCCCGCGCGGCCCGGCGCGGGCCCG